TGTCTCTGGTTTATACACTTTATCTATCAATAGATGCTTTGTGTGTGTATGTTTGTAAATTATGAGGGAAAATGTGAGTAGATAATAATTCTTCTACAGAATTACAGTCTTTATTTCATGATTTATATCCTTTTTGGCTTCATGAGCCCCCGAGCTAGCTTACAATATAAATCTAAAACACATGCAATGAAGTCACAATAATGGGTGCTATCCAACTAAGCTATACTCTGCATAGATCCATTGAAACTAATTACCATGTTAGGCATGTCCATTGATTTCAGTGGATCTACTCTTAAATTGCAAAAGAACCGAAAGAGCACAGCAGAGCAACATTAAGTTATCTGCAATATGTAAGCACCCCACCCCTCAAAAAAAGAAACCAAGGTTTTTAAAGTCCTTTAAAAAGATTCCTCAACTTTACAAAATAAATAAAGGAAAATGTTCATGTTTGACAGGGATGTTCAGAAGCGGGTGAAGTGACTGCCTAATGAAGATGAATGAAGAAAATTGCCCGTATAAGAGTCATATGTTGGGCGAACAGCCCAGGTTGGCGAAATTGTGTGATGGAACCCCCAGGCGCCATTTATCAGTGTCATATTTGGGCTAAAAGTGAACAGCATTGTTCTCTTTCTTCCTAGATGGATAGGTCAACTTTAATATATATGGCTCTTGTAGAACATTTGCTTGATGTATTTCCATTAGCTAGGCAATAATAGAAAAGCACTGGAGAGAAACTTGAAACAGCTTCCTCCTCCTCTTTTTTTTGGGGGGGGGGGTTTGAAATACGACATATACTAATGCCCAGTATTGCTAAGCTTGTCACCGACTCCCCTCCACCCCCATGTTTCATGACATGATCATATATATATTAGGTTCCTGTGAAAATAATGGACAGCATGAAGGAAATATAGCATATATTACTGCTAGTGTGTAAATTTTTATCTCTGAATACTTTCAATGAACCTCTCCCATATATCATGTTTCTGTGCAGAAAGGGCAGTGAGAAAACATTCATTTAATAATCTTCCAGGGAAGCAAGTCAAAACTCAGAGATTAGGAGGAGAATAAGAAAGAGCCTGCTCATTTAAAATGCACACAATTTGGGATTTGCCCATTCAAGCATAAATAATTTTTTTCTTTTATCCCCCCCCCCCCCAGTATCCCAATTATGCAAATTAAGCATGTTCATCTTATTTGGTGGAAAGAAACCAAACTAATCATGAATGAGTTGATTTTCTTCATTTCCCCCCCTCAAAGATAAGGGCATTCCATTCTTGCATCTTTTCAAAATGGCGGTTTCTGGCTCAATGTATGCAGGTTAGCAATTTGCTAGCCAATTCTCTCCCCCACCCCAGAGATTTTGGAGGAAAATTCAACAATGGATATAAATGTTATATTATACAGCCAAGGCAACCTTCTCCCTCACTTTCCCTCTGTTTTAAGCAGGTGTTTTTAAAGTGCAATGCAAACATTGTAGCCATATGTTTCTATAATTTAAATTAATTCGGTACAGTCCTACTGTTAATCTTTTGTGACTTGTTGATTGGCATTTTGCAGACATATTTCTGGAAGGCAACCAATACCATTTTCTGCAGGCTTTCTGGCAGTAGCAGAGAGCAGCGTTTCCACAAATTGGAGTCTTGTACAGCACTGGGAAGCAAGCCAAGATTTAAATTAGACAATAACCTCTGCTCTGTGTATAGCTTGTATTCCTCAACAGTAGGGAGAGTGATTTGTTTAATACAGTCAGTCCTGTAGCATATAATAGACTGATAGATGAGTCATTCCTTGGCAATGCATGTTTCTTAAATTTGTATAGATTGAAGAACTGGATGGTAATGTACTTACTTACAGTTGTGCAAACAGTAACTATTAGCAGAGGCTGCAAAAGGTTTGAGGGGGAAAACTTGCATTGGATTTGGTATTAAAGGTTTTACTGAAAATGTCTCCCCCCCCCCCCGAACTTATTTGGGTGTAGGAAAAGGTCCACCCCGCCCCTGGCCATAAACATATTTTTGTTGTTGCATGCAGGACTAAAGAGATAGTGATAGCTGTGTTAGACATCATAGTTGGTTGTTTCTCATACTTTGTGTCTATAAATATTGAGTTTGGCACATCATGTTTCTCTATAATTAAATTTAGTATCCATCTGTGTTTGTGACTACATAATTGGGACTCTGGTCTTTTTTTGGTTGTGCTGCCTTTGCCTTGTTCATTGTTTCCTTTTTTTCTCCTTTGCATGTTAAAAATGTGTCACTGACAATTGATATCCATGGAAGCAAGGAGATCTTTTATTTTCAAACAACGAGGGGCTTTTCTTGAAAGGAGAGGGAACCTCCTCATGCCACTGCAGTTCATGTTTATTTAAAAGCTTAAAATCATTAGACCAAATCTCACTTTTTGTCCCACAGAAAATTGATTTTGCTCACAAAAATGTCGGGGTCTGAAAGAGAATATTCAGAAATATGCAAATCTAGCTGAGATAGAAATCTGTTTGAGCAGCTGCACAAAAGCAATCCGTTTTTCTTTCATTCTTTCTTTTCTTTCCGTCTCTCTCTCTTAACCCCGAGAGCTTATTTAGCCATGGTGTGAACATTTCTGAACAAAATTGTCACCTGCCTCTATTAAAACATTTTTTCCCTTTTTTCTTTTTTTCTTTTTTTGGTCAGGGATAGTGGTGCAGATCTTTCAGAGTTGAACAGCTTACAATGCTTTCCATTTCTGACGGCTTTCACATTTACAAAATAAAGCACACACTGTGTAAATATTGAACGATACAAAGACATCTTTCATAACAGTTTATAGTGCACTGCACCCTCCTCTGGAATGATGCCAAACAGTAGTTAAGATAAACGATATGCCAATCAAAAATTATTATTGCAAGTATAACCTGTTATACTGCTGTATCTTATCTTAAAGTGTCAACTTGATATAAGCCAGATGCTGTTCTTAAAAACTTAGAACTCGTACATATATAATTCTGCTTGTTAGAAGCTAATCCTGCCACTGACAGGATCACTTGAAGTACTCCATTTTAAGATCTGTCTGGCAGGATACACACACACACTATATATATATATATATATATATATATATATATATATATATATACACATACATGCTGGTTGGCAAGGATGTTACTGATTATGTGATATACTGCCACAGGCTCTTGAAACATTCTCAGTCTGGAAGCCATAAGGTTTATCACTGACACTATCAGCAACATTCCTTGCTATGAACTTATAGCAAAGATTTAGCTTACTGAATGCTTCCTACACTGTGGGAAATTGTCTTGTCTTCAGGACCCATTTACCCCAGTAACAATGGGGTGTATCCAATGCCAGTCCTACTCAGAGTTGAATTAATCATTGAAATTAATGAACTTATGTTGGCAATGTCCATTAGTTTCAAGGGGTGTACTCTGAGCAGAATTAACATTGGATACGACCTAATGGGTGGAAGTCAACTAGGTTTTACTCAGTGTTGATCCTCTGAAATTAATGCACATTGACTAAGTTAGGTCTACTAATTTCAGTGGTTCTGCTCTGAGTAAAACTTCGTTGAATACCATTCAGTGTGCCAGGTGCCTCTCTGTTTCCCTTTCTTCAGCTCTCCATATCTCCTGATCCACCTTCTACTAGTTACTACTGTTTCACCAGCTCTGCTTTCATTTGGTCTGACCAGACTCTGAAGCCAAAATAGAAAATAGTTTGGACATCATTCTCCCTAAAGTCTTATCAGTCCAAAGACCCAATTTTAGCTCCAAATTGCAACAAGACACCAACCCTTTATATACAATATTTAGCTGTACCTCTTCTTCTTTTCTAACCTGCTGTATTCTTCTACTAAAAACAAACTCTATACAACAAAAGAAGAGAGAGTGTTGTTGCTGCTGGTGGTACAGCCTATGGGCTCTTCCAACCCAACTCCTTCTTGTAACTGGTAATCTGGACCCATTTCAATCTGGATTTAGGCCTGGTTTGGGAATGGAATGGCCTTGGCTGTCCTAGTAGATCTTCTCTGGGGCCCAGTCAGGAAAGGCTATCCCTTTTAGTTCTGCTGGGAATTTTTTTGCACATTTTGGACCCCCTGGCAGCTGCTGGTGGTTGGGAGCATTGCTTTGCATGGCTCTGATACTTCCTTGTAGGTAGGTCTCAGAAGGAGGTGCTGAGGAAATTGGATTGAACCTCTTGGCCTTTGAGGTTCTGCAGGGTTTGGTTTTGACCCCTGTTCTATTTAACACATAGATGAAACTACTGAGAGAGATCATCAAAGGATGGGGAGTGACTTTCTATACTTGATTATTCCCATAAGGGAGCGGGAGGCGCTGTGGTCTAAACCACTGAGCCTCTTGGGCTTGCTGATTGGAAGGTCGGCGGTTCGAATTCACATGACAGTGTGAGTTCCCATTGCTCTGTCCCAGCTTCTGCCAAGCTAGCTGTTCAAAAGCAAACCATTGCAAGCAGATCAATAGGTACCGCTGTGGTGCGAAGGTAAACAGTGTTTCCATGCGCTCTGGCTTCCGTCACAGTATTCCGTTGTGCCAGAAGCGGTTTATTCATGCTGGCCACATGACCTGGAAAGCTTTTTGTGGACAAACGCCAACTCCCTTGGCCAGAAGCGAGATGAGTGCCACACCTCATAGTTGCCTTTGGCTGGACTTAACCGCCCAGGGGTCCTTTGCCTTACCTTTACCTATCTTATTCCCATATTGGTACAGTTAGAGGCAAGGTACCACTCTGAAGATCTGTATGAATGGGCTTTTGCTAGTTTCAAGATTCCTAAACTGCTACTGTTGATGCAACTGAAGGGAAGTTGGTTTGGACGCTATATTGAAGAAGCACTAGATGCATAATAGACCCTTCCCCCACCCCAGGTCACATAGAAACATAAGAGACTGCCTTATATGTAGTCTGTTGGTCCACCTAGGTTCAGTATTCTTTACTCTGCCTGGTAATGGCTCCCTGGGGTTTCAAGCAAGAGATTTTATAAGCCTTGCTTGGAGATTCCTGTGACTGAACCTGGGTCCTTCTGCATGCAAGGCAGATGTTCTACCACTGAGCTTTGGTTACTTCTCCTGAGCCTTGGTTATTTATATCTAGGATTTTAAGGAATATTTGTAGAATATCTGGGGAAAGTTTGTAGAATATCTGAAAAATGTATGTGATGTTCAAACAACGCTAGTGGGGTTTCGAGAGGCACTGTAAAAGTTGAGATGTATTGTTAAAAAGAAATAGAAGGGGGAGGGAAGACAAATGGCAATACAAATGAAGGGAATGCGTACTGAAGAGATAAATACGGATGATTGTCAGAGAAGCTGAAGGAAGTCCAAAAAGAGATAATTTGTTAAAATTTGGATAAAAATGTATAATTATATTGGAAAATTAATAAAAAATTATAAAAAAAGAAAAGGATTTTAAGGAATATTAAACTAGCCTTCAGGCAATACAGTACTGATTTACTAGTGGGTCAGCTCCTCTCAGAGCTTTGGAATTCTCCAAGCTCCCAAATGTTGCTGTAAAATACCAGTGCTGAGAACTTGACAGAAATAAGTCTGTTAACAGAATCTGAATTACTGTTTTTGTTGTTACAAGCTGGGCTTGGAAGGAAAATGCTCACAGTGGGACGCTAAGGATAAGGGGGACGGTGTAGAAAAATGGCTCTTAATGTTATTGATATGACTTGGATTTCCAAGGCACATGGCTATAGACAGCTCACCTTCACCCAAACCTGGCATTAGTAGGGAGGAGAGATGTATAGGGTAAAATGAGATTCTTGGTGAGACAGTAGTTAATAAACACTGAAAGTAATCTTCTAGAACAAACACAAAAGTTGGAATACAGGATCATGTAACTTGTCCTTCTAGTTTTCCTACTGTGTTTCAGGCATCCTGTTAGTTGTCCATGATGGCCAATTCATGATGCCATTTTACAACCCAGCACCCCACATGCAATATTTAGTTTTGGGGAAATTAGTTTTTTTCTGATTTGGTGGGTGAAAATTACATGATGACTGAAATTCTCTGGGCTGTCCCTCAATATAATCCCTCTGGGCCGTCCTTCCACTGAATTTTCTGCTGTCACCACAGGTTTAGCAAATCTTGATACCTGCCCAAAGCTTCATATCCTAGGAGTTGTTGCATATTGCATCCCTGCAGAAAACCTTGTTATGTTGGTGGCCATCACCACATACTTTGGTAGCAAATTCCATAAGTTATATATGCACTATTTATTTTCTGTTTTTCCTCATTCCACCAACCCTTCCTTTAAAAACAATTGGTTTTATTTCGACTATTTGTATACTGCTTAATTACCAAAATCTCTAATACAAAGGAGACACCCATAGAAGAGACCTTTTCATCTAATTGGGAAAGCTTGTCAGAGCAAAAATGCCTTCAAATGTTTCCACAAAGTGTGGATAGTTGGCACCTGTTGCATCTTGACCGGGATACTGTTCCACAGAACTGGGGCAGCCACACTAAAAGCCCCGCTCAGTTATGGTGGAGTTGGCTTCAGATATATTTGGGACTTGAAGGAGAAGCTCTCCTGCAGACTGCAGTGACCTACCTAGTTGTATAATGGATAACCTGGTCCTGAGCTGTGCAGCGCCTTCTATGTTAGTACTGATATTGTGACATTGGCCCAGTAGCAGATTGAAAACCAGTGCAAGTCCTCCAAGCAAAGTGTTATATACTGGCAGCCATCTGCCCACACAAGCAGCATAGCCACCCCATTCTGCACCAGCTGCAGAATCTGGAACAGCCTCCAGCATAGCTCCACATAGAGTGCATTGCAACCCTGCACAGAGTGCAAATCCAATCTTGAATTTGCCAGTGCATGGACAAATGCCAAAACCATCATGGCACTTTTAATTTTTATATGTCATTGAGCAAGTTAAATCACTGGGAGGAACAGTCTTCCACCCCCTCCCTAGATGGCTGGAGATCCACTGAGGGCACAGAAGCCATCTTATCTCTTTCCCTGAGTGTGGGGTATGCCAGGCATGGTGTGTTCTCACATCTTAAAGGCTCTGCCATCACCTCCTCCTGTTGTTTCTGTTTCTGCTTCTCCTTCTCATCTTCCTCCTTGAGGACCATCTACTCCCAAAGAGTATCCTCATTTTATCTTCCTGGTCACCTTCAGGGAATGCAGTTCACTGTGAAATGTTCATAATATGGCTAGCAGTTACAGTCTTAAAGGCCTCTGCAGATTTTATCCTCTCCTAGAAGAGAGGTATAGAAGAACTAAGACACTTGTAAGTACATTCATCTGCTGTGTTTAGCCTAAAAATGTCTCGACTAATCTTTCATTATGAATAAAATACCTACATCTGCTTCAAACTTCCTATATTAATTTTTTTACATTTATAACTCAGTATAATTTGAAACTGTGCAGTTGAGCCAAATAACGTTTCAGATTAGAATTCACATTTTTTGCTTAAGTGAGTGAAATTTGATATAAGAGTCTAAGAAAAGCTACTTATAGTCCAATTGCAGTATAATCATATATTCCTTGAAATTCAAGTGTGAAAATATTACAGTAATCTCAGATACTGTGGTAGAAAACCATTCCTTGGGATTCTTAGAATAAAATGCTGTCATTATGTTTAGAAACGAGATTCAGTCCCCTCGTATCCGTCTTGTCTATTTTATATGTGTGTGTGTGTGCGCATGCATGTAATATTTTAAAAGCTATTACGGACCTGAAGTTCATACATTTATTAGAGGAGCACTTTGAAGGTAATGGGAGAATGTGTAAATGTTCACATTAAAAGGACATTGCCCTGATTTTTTTTAAAAAAATACACTACATTCTTAAATTGAAAAGAAGCTTTAAAACATATTGTTCAGAGAGGATTGGCAATGCCAGAGTGAGCATCTGGTGTCCCCAGGCAGGTAGTAGGATGGCTGGACCCACCACTAACCACTTCATACATATCTATACTGTTGAGGGTGCCACTTCCAGAAGAGTTGTTCTTATGCTGGCCTGGATAGCATATGGTACCTTTTCTATACGCAAATCAGTATGGGAATCAGTCCATGTGAATAAAAAGGGGTGGGGAGGTATAAGATTTGACATTACTTGTGCATTTCAGACAGCTATCTTCAAACACTGCAGCCCCCTTTTTTTACAGCAAACAACTGACTGCCCCATTACACCTTTTCAAAAATCAATTAACTTCCCCCCGAGCTCCAGGGTGCTCCAGGGTATTGTGGGAAATTCAAATGCCAGCGCTTATCAGAGCAACATGGCTGTTGCCCATCATCTGTACCACCAGGTAAACCCCACAGACTTCACAACAGGGCCCCTATGTATGGTGAGATTCACCAGAGGGTGTTGTGACAAGAGCCCCCTCAGGTTTTAGGCATGTAAGCAATATTATGGCAGTACGTAATGCTGAAGAAATTAAAGCCTTCACACTACGATTAGAGTGAAACTTTGTTTAAGACTTTGTTTATTAAGACAAAGCAACTGTGTTGGAGAACATCCTCATCAACCAGAATATATTCTGAATTGATCAATAGGGTTCACATTCTGCTTGCATATGGCGCTAAAAGCTTTTTTATGGGGATCAGAAAGTTGTCACAACCCAGTTTATAAGAAACCGTAAGAAACTTGCTTAACAGGAAAATCAGCATTGCCGAAGTCAAAACCTTCAACATTCCATGCTTCTTTCATTCTTTCACTTTCTCTCCCACCTTCATGCCAACTTTCTTTTTACACCCTGAGAGATGTAGCCTCATCAATATAAGATCCGAACAGGGTACAGCCTACTATAGGCCCAAGTCAGTGTATACACCAGACCCACATATTCTGCTTCCACACTAAGTACTATGGGTTGTGTCCTACTAAGTTTCATTCAGAGTAGACCTATTGAAATTAAGGGACCTAAGTTGGTTATTAATTTCAGTGGGCCTACTCTGAGTCGGGCTGGCATTGGATACAACCCTATATGTTTCAACTTCTTTTATGATCACATCTGTGAGAAATACTGTGAAATTAAAGATTCCATTCATAAATACAATGGTAGATACACTTATTTTATTTATTTCAGGGCTAGGGAACCTGAGCCCTCCAAATGTTGCTGGACTCCAGCTCCCATCATCCCTGAACATTGACCAATGCTAACTGAGGATGGTGGGAATTGGAGTCCTACAAGATATGGAGGGTCATATCTGGTTTAGGCCTCTGGAGTTTAAGACTAGCCGCAAGCTTCTGTAAAATGCTGGAAGTGACTATCCCCATTTCCTTAGAATGTAGGACACCACATTTGGTAAAGACAATGATTCATGGCCAAAAGGGCTTGTAAATATACCCATCTGTCCCATATCTTGAAACTCTCAGCAAAGCTCATTAGCCATCTATATCTGTGGCATATATTCATTGCTGATTGGTATTCATTGGGACTGGTTGGATGGAAAGGAAGGGAGCCAGCGCTAATTACAGGTGGAGCCAACAAATTCTGGTTATGCCTCCATCTTCCTCCCTGCTACCTTTTGCAATAGCAACAGTGAGACAAAGAAGAAGGAAGCTGACAGCCAGTGCCACCCCATGGAAAGCAGATGTGGACTAGCTGAGGGTAGACTGGGGTTGGTGGGGCTGTGCCCCATTTGCTCTAATGAATGACTTTCCATTATATATGCAGGTAACACAACTTATACACATTTAACTTGTGCACATTCAGCTTTACGCACTTGGCTACTTAAAGGGGGGCAAAACAGGAGCAGACGTCTGGGAAATCTGTTTTTTTCAATCCTACCTGCCATTGAACCCCATGAGTTTTGATATGTGATTTTGGTTTTACACGCTATTCTAGCACCATTTTGTGGTTCACCTCATGTGCCAAAATGTCTTGGGCTGGCCCTGGCTCCAGGTAGCATGGCAGGCAGCAGCAGGACTATGTGAAAGAGTGAAGTGCCTGCAGTTTTTGCTGTGATTATCCACACGCTTGATCATTCATGCTTAGCCATGGTTTGGCTTAGCATCACATGGGAACTGGGCCACTGTATTGTGAAGACTAGTGAAAGCTGTACAATGCACAAAATATATTTTATCTAAACCTACTG